ACTTGAGAATTGATTCTTATTCTTCCTTGTTCTTGGTTTTGAGGTTGAAAGGGATTTCATCCAACACAATTAAGTATATCATAACTGGTTATGAGCCATGTAGGCCGTTGACTGCAATTTCAACCTGCTTTTCGTTTTGGATTTGCTTCCATAGCCTTTGTACATGGTGTCCGGTCAAAAACCCCCTGGACAAAAACCCCCTGGACATAAACCCCCCGACATAAACCCCCTGGACAAAAACCCCCCGCGACATAAACCCCCTGGACAAAAACCCCCCGCGACATAAGCCCCCTGGACAAACCCCCCCCCCCCCCCCCGCGATATAAACCCCCCTGATAATAACCCCCGGACTGAGGTTTATATAAAGAAAAAATAATGATGATGTGAACCAAGAAATTTTAAAAAATTACATTAAATTAATTTAATTTTTTACGACTAAGAAAATAGTTTCTACCTAAAAAAATGCTTTTCGAAATCAAGGAGTGACCTTAGTTGTATTTGATCAAAGATCGGGCACCGACAACACCTTAGATATAGGTCATCCACATGTGGGATCAAAGCAACACATTCTTAACAATTCAAAAGATGTGAGGGATTCACCGGCAGAAGCTTGGTTCATATCCACCTTGGCATACAGAACCATGGTATAAATATAAAATCAAATTTATTTCTCGACAAATCGTATATTTTCTGGAATGGAGTTCGTTCAATCCAATAAAGGAAATTTAAAGGTGATTTTTGAAGGCTATGTTTATGTCAAGCAAAAAGATCTGGCGAACGGCGTTGTGTCATTTGAGTGTTCCAAAAGACGCAACAAGGCAGAATGCAAAGCAAAAATATTCATGGTGAACAGCTTGTTGGACGATGTAATGAACATTCGCATGGACCAGAAATTTATTGACTTTATTAAAAAGGAACAATCTCTCCAAGAGGTTTATTGTACACAGATTAATTCAGGTCACTGTTTACCAAAACAGAAAAAAAAATATATTGATAGCAGCTCTCGAATTTTAACTGTTGTTAAAAATTTTAATGAGTCCACCATTATTGAGTATTTGCGAGGCATCGCTCACAATCTGTCTTTAAATAAAAATAAAAGTTTTTCCTAATGTTTGTTTTGTATTTTTATATTAATTTTGTTTCTCGTCATCTTTGGTTTTTCCTTATATAAACCTCAATTGGGGGGTTTTTGTCCAGGGGGTTTTTATCGAGGGGGGTTTTTGTCCAGGGGGTTTATATCGCGGGGGGTTTTGTCCAGGGGGTTTATGTCGGGGGGTTTATGTCCAGGGGGTTTATGTCCAGGGGGTTTTTGACCGGGAGCCTTTGTACATCCAAGTTCAAACTACAAGGCAGCAGTTGTTTGATTTTGGAGTTGTCTCTCCTAGAAGGGTTGTCGTCCCCAGCTATCGAGCCTCATCTGCCCAGGGGTTCGAATTCGGGACTTATCGGTTCAGCAACAATAAGCTTTACCGACCCGACCACGCCGACCTCCTATATTTTACCACAAACAAAAATAACTAATTGTTTGTTTGAATTAAACATGTATGGAAATAGAAACCCGACTATCATAACATCTCAATTAAACCTGAGCTACAGGCATCTAGAAATCAAACAGGTTACTTATTTCACAGCTGGACGATAGTTTGTATTTATGGCTCTGTCATTAACAATACTTAATGTGTATCCACACACCAACATTTTCTAAGAACCTCTTCACTCACTATTTTCTCACCGATATTCTACCTTACCCTACTTCATACCTGCTCCCACACGTATTCTCATACCAACCACCCCCACACCGGGCTTCCACCAGCTTCCTTCTTCACCCTTCTCCCACCAACCATCCCACACCCTTCTCCCACCAACCCCCCCACACCCTTCTCCCACCAACCACCGCACACGCTTCTCCCACCAACCACCCCACACCCTGCTCCCACCAACCACCCCAGACCCTTCTCCCACCAACCACCCCACACCCTTCTCCCACCAACCGCCCCACACCCTTCTCCCACCAACCACCCCACATCCTGCTCCCACCAGCTTCCTACACTCTTCTCCCACCAACCACCCCACACCCTTCTCCCACCAACCACCCCACACCCTTCTCCCACCAACCATCCCACACCCTGATCCCACCAACCACCCCACACCCTTCTCCCACCAACCACCCCACACCCTGCTCCCACCGGCTTCCTACACTCTTCTCCCACCAACCACCCCACACCCTTCTCCCACCAACCACCCCACACCCTGCTCCCACCAACCACCCCACACCCTTCTCCCACCAGCTTCCTACACCCTTCTCCCACCAACCACCCCACACCCTCCTCCCACCAACCACCCCACACCCCACACCCTTCTCCCACCAGCTTCCTACACCCTTCTCCCACCAACCACCCCACACTCTTCTCCCACCAACCACCCCACACCCTTCTCCCACCAACCACCCCACACCCTGCTCCCACCAACCACCCCACACCCTTCTCTCACCAACCACCCAACACCCCACACCCTTTTCCCACCAACCACCCCAAACCCTGCTCCCACCAACCACCCCACACCCTTCTCCCACCAGCTTCCTACACTCTTCTCCCACCAACCACCCCACACCCTTCTCCCACCAACCACCCCACACCCTTCTCCCACCAGCTTCCTACACTCTTCTCCCACCAACCACCCCACACCCTTCTCCCACCAACCACCCCACACCCTACTCCCACCAGCTTCCTACACTCTTCTCCCACCAACCACCCCACACCCCACACCCTACTCCCACCAGCTTCCTACACTCTTCTCCCACCAACCACCCCACACCCTTCTCCCACCAACCACCCCACACCCTTCTCCCACCAACCACCCCACACCCCACACCCTACTCCCACCAGCTTCCTACACTCTTCTCCCACCAACCACCCCACACCCTTCTCCCACCAACCACCCCACACCCTACTCCCACCAGCTTCCTACACCCTTCTCCCACCAACCACCCCACACCCTTCTCCCACCAGCTTCCTACACTCTTCTCCCACCAACCACCCCACACCCTTCTCCCACCAACCACCCCACACCCTTCTCCCACCAACCACCCCACACCCTACTCCCACCAGCTTCCTACACCCTTCTCCCACCAACCACCCCACACCCTTCTCCCACCAGCTTCCTACACCCTTCTCCCACCAACCACCCCACACCCTACTCCCACCAGCTTCCTACACTCTTCTCCCACCAACCACCCCACACCCTTCTCCCACCAACCACCCCACACCCTACTCCCACCAGCTTCCTACACCCTTCTCCCACCAACCACCCCACACCCTTCTCCCACCAACCACCCCACACCCTTCTCCCACCAACCACCCCACACCCTACTCCCACCAGCTTCCTACACTCTTCTCCCACCAACCACCCCACACTCTTCTCCCACCAACCACCCCACACCCTTCTCCCACCAACCACCCCACACCCTACTCCCACCAGCTTCCTACACTCTTCTCCCACCAACCACCCCACACCCCACACCCTACTCCCACCAGCTTCCTACACTCTTCTCCCACCAACCACCCCACACCCTTCTCCCACCAACCACCCCACACCCTGCTCCCACCAACCACCCCACACCCTTCTCCCACCAACCACCCCACATCCTGCTCCCACCAACCACCCCACATCCTGCTCCCACCAGCTTCCTACACTCTTCTCCCACCAACCACCCCACACCCTGCTCCCACCAACCACCCCACACCCTTCTCCCACCAGCTTCCTACACTCTTCTCCCACCAACCACCCCACACCCTGCTCCCACCAACCACCCCACACCCTGCTCCCACCAACCACCCCACACCCTTCTCCCACCAACCACCCCACACCCTGCTCCCACCAACCACCCCACACCCTGCTCCCACCAACCACCCCACACCCTGCTCCCACCAACCACCCCACACCCTGCTCCCACCAACCACCCCACACCCTGCTCCCACCAACCACCCCACACACTTCTCCCACCAGCTTCCTACACTCTTCTCCCACCAACCACCCCACACCCTGCTCCCACCAACCACCCCACACCCTTCTCCCACCAGCTTCCTACACTCTTCTCCCACCAACCACCCCACACCCTGCTCCCACCAACCACCCCACACCCTGCTCCCACCAACCACCCCACACACTTCTCCCACCAGCTTCCTACACTCTTCTCCCACCAACCACCCCACACCCTGCTCCCACCAACCACCCCACACCCTTCTCCCACCAGCTTCCTACACTCTTCTCCCACCAACCACCCCACACCCTGCTCCCACCATCATTTCTAGGCACACAGTCCCCAGATACGTGTAGATAAAGTAGAACTGTAAAATATCTCGTATTTCTTTGTACAGGGCATGGTCAGTGTGTAGGATGGAGGGACAGGCAAAAAGGGGTGGTCTTTGCTTATGTTCTCTCTCGTCTGCTACACCGTTGTTTTAAAATTTTCATGCCACAACCGCGCAGGCTGTCAAAGATTTAACAGCCAAACATTGTCATGCCCCAGCCGCGCAGGCTGTCAAAGATTTAAAAGCCAAACATTTTCATGCCCCAGCCGCGCAGGCTGTCAAATACTTAACAGCCAAACATTTTCATGCCCAAGCGGCGCAGGCTGTCAAAGATATAACAGCCAAACATTTTCATGCCCCAGCCGCGCAGGCTGTCAAAGATTTACAAGCAAATCGGTAGAAGAATGAATGGTGTACTCACATACTAACATGTTTGTGAGAAGATAAATACATATACACACATTCAGAGTTAAACACAATATAGAGATTTTTAATTTACTTCAAGCAACAGTCGTTAAACATAACCCTTTGGACAAGTAAAGAATGTTTGTATAATTTTATTATAGTTAATATAGTGATGAATACAAATACATTTTACTAATAGCACTAAGGTTATAATTAAAAGAAGCGTAATTTGGATGTATAAATAAGAACTTAGCCTTAACAAGCCATCATCTGTTTGTTGTACACAGCTTTAACTGTTACTTAAATTATGTCTTATTTTGAATCTTAAATTTTGGTGATTCAATAAACCAAATCTAGCCCAGGTTGACCTCAGGGTGGTTAGAATTTATATTTTTGATCAGCAGCCGGTCACCTTCATCAGACGCGATCCAGTTGAAAAAGTCGAACCGGTACTTGGTAGTACCAGGTCTCTGTAAATCGAAAACGAAATTTAGCTATTATTTAGGCATTACTTTAAGGTTTCGGGAAACAGCATATGATCGTATGAAATAAACGTATACAGCAATGCTACAAACTCCAACAGGACAGACTACAACGGACTAAAACATGTGAACATTTCACAGACTTTATAGAAACCTATATATATATATACATATACACATATATATATATATATATATATATATATATATATATATATATATATATATATATATATATATATATATATATATATATATATATATATATATATATATATATATATATATATATATACAGGCACATGTGTATTTATAAATATATCATCAATGGCTTCTACTGCATGGAGTAGAATAGTCGTGATTTACATATCAGACTTCTTTATGTAAATTTTATACAATCTCAAACATTTGAATAGGCTCTTACAGTTAAACTGAGCCGCTGTTAAACTCATGATATTGGCTGTTAAACTCGTGATATTGGCTGTTAAACATAAAAACATAAATTAGAACTGTTTAAAAAAAAACTCACAATGTCGTGGTCACCGACAGCTGCCACTTTCTGAACGATTTCAACCTAAGAAAATATTCAGGATAAAAGGGAAGTTAACCACATTTTCATACAAATTAATAAAATGTATTTGGATTTAATAATGTAAAGCTATGTTACGCCTACAGACGACTCAATGGAAAAATTAAACTAGAGAACAACTTATTATCGAAGGTTGACCAGTGTTTAGTAGTAATGAAAGCTGGAGGACTTTTACTCACATAGTCAAGGAACCATCCTGAGTTCCAGCCGTGGTTGTTGTGTCCTATCTCAATAGATCGAACCCGCCCCACGTTGTTGGCGTGTACCTGGGGAGATATGCTCAAATTATTTTTTAGATGTAACGAACATGCGAATGTAGAGATTTAAAGAAACAAGCAATTTAAAAGCCGCATTACAAATCTATCGGAACTGGAACACGTTTTAAAAAGAGAAGTAGGATATAGAACATGAACAATATTTAAATTAAAAAAAAAAGACTAATGTAAATAGTATCAGAACTAAACGAAATACAGTTGGTACTTTATACTATTGACTCAAGTGAGTTGAAACCTTTTTTATCACATATCAAAACAAATAAAACAAATAGATTCGTTTATCGGAACATAATCCCAATCATAAACTCCAATCATGACATAACACATAGGTATGTAGATACAACATACATTTTGGTACTTAATTGTTTAAAATTATTTTTTTAAAATTAAATTTAAATCCTACTAAGCGAAAGTTGATGTCAGATTACATAGTCATCAAATCATGAGCGTCGTATCAAGTTTCTAAAAAACATCGGTTCGGGAGAAGGGGGTTAAAATTCGTTCGCAAGCTTCAGCCTATGACGGAAAGAAATAAGAAAACAGACATGACAAGAAATCAATTTAGATCTTGCAAAAAAGTTCAGTCCTCTAACTGGGTAGGCTAAAAAAAAATTAACACCTATTTGTTTATACTGCATTTAAAAGTATTTTTAAATGATCTTCGTAATGATTTAATGAATTTAGAGAAAATGTCATCACTGAAATGTCAACAGATGTCACAAACTGTAACAAGACGTCACACAGCGTCACAGAACGCTCACCGTAAACGTGTCCGTGTCGCCCTTCTCAAAGTTGCCGGCCGACTGATTAGGCATGACCAGCCTGCCGGTCGAACCGCTGGAGCCGAATATAGTCATGAACACCAGAGCATCAGTGCCGGCATTGGCTCGACTACCGGTTTTTATGGTTATCGTGTAGTCGATATTTTCAGAATAAGCTGCGAAAATTGATAGAAAATAAATTTCTATATATAAGTACACTATAACCCACAACACCTATTGGTATACTAACACCTACACCTTGCATCTTAAAGCCCTTTCTACACCGATCCCTACACCGCCGCTTTCACCTACACCTACACCTAAACCTAAACCTAAACCTACACCTACACCTACACCTACACCTACACCTACACCTACACCTACACCTACACCTACACCTACACCTACACCTACACCTACACCTACACCTACACCTACACCTACACCTACACCTACACCTACACCTACACCTACACCTACACCTACACCTACACCTACACCTACACCTACACCTACACCTACACCTACACCTACACCTACACCTACACCTACACCTACACCTACACCTACACCTACACCTGCACCTGCACCTGCACCTGCATCTGCGCCTGCACCTGCACCTACCTCTACCCCTACCCCTACCCCTACCCCTACCCCTAGTCCTACCCCTACCCCTACACCTACACCTACACCTACACCTACACCTACACCCACACCCACACCCACACCCACACCCACACCTACACCTACACCTACACCTACACCTACACCTACACCTACACCTACACCTACACCTACACCTACACCTACACCTACATTTACACCTACACCTACGCCTACACCTACACCTACACCTACACCCACACCCACACCCACACCTACATCTACATTATTGCATTTTATTTTATTTTTTCATGACCAGTCATACACGCAGCATTTAAAACTAAACCCCTCCCCCACCGCCACAATAAAAGGTTGAACCATAACCCATAACATAACCCCCAGTACACATTACAGTAAACTTAACTTACTTGCAGAAAATAAAACACTGTATCATGGATGTTACTTTAACAAATAACAAATATAAATCAACAAATGCGAGGAAAAAATAACTTGCCTGCATGTACCAGCATTACTACACAAATCAAACCCAAACATGACGTGATATTCATTTTGCTTGTGTAGTAGTTGAAAACCGTCGTTAAATAATAATTTTATGTAATTGGTTAGACCCTCAGTACTTGAAAACAGTCCTTAAATTTTAATTATGTGTGATTTGATAGATCATTACAACCAAATTTATACCGTGTCTTATGAGAGCGTTGCAATATGTAAAGTTCAATGACCTTACTATTATGTAGTCCGGCACACCCATACCGAGAAAAGCATTCAGTTAAAACGTTCAAAACATATTTACCTCTAGAACCCTCTACTGGTAGTCCTGACCGGGTTACCACCTGTCTGCGACAAAGGATAAAATATATTATTTTCTATTTTTCTCATCAAAGGAATCTTTACATTTCAAATTATTATTGCGACCAACCATTTCTATTTTGGGGCCGTTTTTGTTTTTGTTTTTCTGTACTAATAACCTAAAGTGAGTGGTGGGGAGGGGGGGGGGGGGGTGTGGGGGTGTGATGGTGGTCCTAAAGATGTATCTATTTATTTTTTTTTTAAATTTCTGTCCTGGGGTAGGGGTATATAACAATTGAAACTTCGGGGTGGGGGGGGGAGTAGTTGAAATGTCGCAGGAAGTGGACAGTGAACTATTTTCAAAATACTTTTGCTCTATACAAATTTATATATTATTTTCATGCTTGGGAAATAGGGGGGGGGGGGTGCTTTGCTAGAGAAATGTATGAAAGAATCCTTCCGTCGCGGGTGGACTGGGGTGGGGTTGGGACCTCAAAATTAACTTGTTTAAATTTAGTATCAAAATACGTATATGTAACAATAAACACAAATAATTTAACCCGCATACACACTAAAAGGATATTGTGCACATTATTGTTATTGAAAACAAACTAGATTTGAATGTTATTAGAAAGCAGTATTTAGATGTAAATAAAAATTGTACCTCCACGTTAAGCGAGTGATGAAGGAGACACATACTGATGTCAATAAACTGGATGTGACTTTACGAATCATTGTGTTTTACGTCAGACTAAAATATTACTTTTAAACTTTCCTTTAAAGATAGACATGACATTTAGAAACCCTGCGACAGTATTTGGTCGATAAGGTAGACATTAGTTAAAATAAAAAATAAAATCTCGCGAAAGATATTACATATATTTTTAAATATATTTTATTTATATTTTTGAATGCGTTTTAGATTCTACTTTTCAATAATCAAGAACAAATATTTCTGAAAAGAATGAATTGTATTTATATTTTTAGAATTATTTGAATGTTTTAAATTAGAATATTATTCCTTTTTTTGACATACAGATAGGAAGTGGGGGGGGGGGGGGCGGTGGAGGTTCGTCCAGAGTGAACACGTGGGGACGGGAAAGGCGATTGGGGAAGGGGGGGGGGGGAGGGATGTACAAAAAAAGTTTTTTGTGCTTTTCTTTTGGATCTCACTGAACATGAGGTAGTAGTTTTATAAATGATTTCACAATGCGGAGCGTGGGGCCGTTTAACTTTTTTTTTTTGTGTGTTTGAAGATTAGTGAAACATATGTTGGAAGCTGGGTGGGGGGGGGGGGGATTTATTTTGCAAAGATATCATGTCAAAAGATAGGGACGAACCCGTGAAGAAACACTGTCTAATAAGTAATATTTTGGTTAGTTTAAAGTTTTTTACGTTCAAATGACGGCGGTCTCCATCTTGTTAGTTTTGGAGTTATTGATAAACATGTTGACGCTGTCAGCCATTGGCCATAACATTACACGTTTTCCTAGTTAGAATGGTTGAATGAACTCGTCGACAGTCAGTGCAGCATCAGCCACTGTAGCGTCAGCCGCTGCCACTTCTTGCCATGGGTAGTTGCGATTGAATGGGACAGAGTGGTAGGATAGTAGAGAATACGACTGCTAAACTGAAAGTCTCGAGTACAAATCTCGGGTTTGTGTCAGTAGGGCATCACTGAGTCCACCCAGCTCAAAGGGGTAGCCGACAAGCGTCAGGAAAACAAATGGCGTCTGGGCACGGTATTAAGCACACTATTCCTTCAAATGCCGAGCAGTGTTTCCTCCAGACTTTTTTCTCCGGGGGGGGGGGGGGGGGGGGCACTTGAAATTTTCGGGGGGGGGGGGGCGGTTGACTTTCATCGGGGGGGGCGGATACTGTTAAAAGTATATATTTTCTATATTAATTATATAAATTTCATTTCGTTCGGGGGGGGGGGCGGTAAAAAATGTCTCCCTCCATCCTCCTTTCTCCACCATTACTTACATGTGAAATTTCATTTATCTATCTGAAATAGTACTCAAGTTATAGGCTTTTGAAAAATTCATAGTAGAAAAAGTACCACTTTCGGTTATCGGAAATCGCTCAAAAGTTGATACGGATCTACGATTTTGATAAAATACATATATATGAAATTTCATCAACCTAGCTGTAACGGTACTCATGTTATCGTGTTTACACATACACATACACACACACACACACACACACACAGGCACACAGACATACGGACAAGATTGCTAAATTATGTTTTTCCGTATCAGTGAGGTGTAAAACGTCGAGATTTGTAAAAATCTCTTTTTATTTTTTTGCACGATTACAAGACTTTCTCTATACTTCGTATATACGAGAAAGTAAAAAAAAAAAACCCTGCATCATCACCCTTCATACATGAATACTTAAAACAATCGTCAAATCCCTATGTAAATGTATTTCATTATTTCTTTTTTAATACAATAAAATTGTAATGATTCTACCTTGAATCCCCCCCCCCCCCCCCCCCACGTATCTGCTCCACTGTGAAGTACATCATCCTCACATATCTGTAATCCCCTCCCCTCTCTCTCTCTCTCTCTCTCTCTCTCTCTTTTCCTGGAGTATGACGTCATGTTGGAAGACCCGTTGGTTCTTGTAGAAATTTCCATTCACTGGAAGCCTTCCCGTCTAGATTCTAAAATTAGCAATGGTGTAACCCTGCTTGGCACGGTGTACAGGTTATGTAAGCACACGTAAGACATAGGTAAAAATATACCCCACCCCCCTCCCATCACATAAAACACTTAATATAGAAATGACTATCTATCATTTTTTTTTTAAATAAATATTTGTAACGCTTAATAATAATTAAATAAAAGATCTAAGCGGAATGATTGCCATTTTACGAAGAAACGAAATGAGAGAAATCGGGAATTTCAGTGTACAAAAATAACAGTGACGTATGACAACAAACCTATACTACAACATACGAGCTGTCGAGTCAGGCTAATGTTATATGTGTATTTATTTTAGTCTTTTAGTCTGCATATATAAGTGGTGATTACAATAAATAGAGTATAGAGTCACTAAAGTTCTACATTCAGCCAACATACCAGAAAACTAGTGTTACAGTTAGTGCAGGTATACGTATTACTACGGCATAAACAATCCGATTTTTATGTTATAGCTTTTATATAAGCTTACGTAACTGTTAACATAGTAGTATATGTTCTACTTCTGACTCAAAACTGACTGTTGATGATATTCGCAAGTGTTGAATTTTAAAGTATTTAACTTCATAAATATTTTTATATTTTTAAAAGGTAAGTTTTTGTCGTACTAATTATAATGTTTACAAATGTAAATTTTTCAAATTTTATTTCATGTTATCACTGTAAATCAATTTAAAAATAGCATTATGTATTCTAAAAAGTAGAAAAATTGATGTTTTGTTTTATGCTATTTATAGATGCATTTATATGTGGGCTGTCTTTTAATTTGGAGTAATTATATTGTATTTGTAATGTGAATGCAAAGTAGACTAGTGGTTGAAGTTAGGAGCATTGCGAGTTATGGTTCTTTATTCAGTCTTTGTATTGAGTGCTGTTTTTTGGCACTCGTCACCTGATCTTACATGTGTATTTGAATACCTATTAATACTTTAGATAACGATACTTCTACCTCGATTACTACTGTAGACAACGATACTTCAGCGCTGAACCTAACACTTACTTTTCATTTACTTCCTTGATTTAACGCAAAAACAACCTTAAGTCTAACACTAATCAAAAGGCTGACAATGGCTTTTGAAGTTAAAATATCCTATTCTCTGAATACCTTTGCTGTTGGTAATCTATTTATATCATTCTTTTAAATCCTGATTTTTAAAACTACCAGGGACATGCTGTCTCTGTGTTGTGTTCTACGGGAAAGTGTTGGGGGTTGGGGGAGGAAGGGTGGCGGTGTCTACGACACATATCACATGGGGTTACGGTAGAACGACAAACCACACGGAGACTTGTTTTGTTTACATGAGTCCCCTACATACACGGCCCGACTGAATAACATAACGTAAGCACTGCTGTTTTCGCTGACTGCAAGTCTACAATTTGGGGTACCTGAACCGGATATCTATGTTTTGTGGGACGAATTCTAGCCTTGGTCTCCTGATGTTACCTGTATATTTTTATACCTGTGCATTTATGTACATGTATATTTGTATACCTGTGCATGTATATACCTATATATTTGTATACCTGTATGTTTTTATACCTGTATATTTGTATACCTGTGCATTTATATACATGTATATTTGTATACATGTATGTTTTTATACCTGTATATTTGTATACATGTGCATGTATATACATGTATATTTGTATACCTGTGCATTTATATACCTGTATATGTGTATACCTGTGCATTTATATACATGTATATTTGTATACCTGTATGTCTGTGTACCTGATACTAAATGACGATATTCTAACACAAACCGTAATCTCACTCCTAAATTTAACACACATATAAACCTCAAGTCTGAAACCACTAAAGACTAGCCCTAACCCTGACCTCGTCTGTATTGTATTGTAATAGGTAAATACTTCTAATCAATAAGTCCTGATATTCATAGTGCCATAGGACAGGAACTGTGTAAAGCGCCAGGTGTGTGGGTGGAATGGTCTAAAAACGAAGGGGGGGGGGGGAGAGAGTTTCTATCATACATAAGAATGTCCCTATCCTGTAAATACACACTATACAAGACTTGGTTTTATGAAACCTCCTTTACATTCATCTTGACGTCTACACGAGGGAATACACGTTTATACTACAGCTATGTTTATACTGTTAGCCATACCACCCCACGTTAGGTTATATTTTGATTAATAAAAGCCTAAATTCAACCTCCATTACTAAACTTCATATTTTCCATATAACTAAAAATATTATTTCTACTTTTCTTAAACCCAATTCAAAACTTGTACTTAATCTTAAATGTATCAACATCTTTGTTGTGTAACACAGTCAAAACTACTCAACTATTTATAGAAATATAATTAAGGTCACGTGATATTTAAACCCATCTCCTGCTTAACGAAACCCTCCCCCCACCCCCGCACCGACTTACCGCAAACAATAAAGCAAAAAAGATAACCATATTTAGGATTACGACTGCTAATCCAAAAAGCTCGAGTTCGGATCCTTCGCACGTGTATGTTGGCCGTCCTCTAGTCTACCCAACTCAGATAGGTACCTGACGTACGTTAGATGCTGACTATACTATCTATCTATATTCCTAGATCATTGAAACAGATTAACTCTACTTCATCTTTCACATGTGCTTGTGACACAAACGAGTTGAGATAATGATAGTTAGGCGATGATATTTTACATTGTTGGTTTTCATGAATACATATTGTATTTGTCCACAGCTACAGGAAAATGAGTACAAGTTTAATGAGCCCAGCTGTTAAGTACTCACCTGCCTGTTCACCTTTGACCCGTCAAACACAGACCATACTTGCTTATCACGTCGCTCACTGTTTTAGAGTCAGGGAGCGTAGATGGAGGTATTAAACTGGTTGTAAGTTGACTTATATTTTTAACTGACATTGACATTCATGGGTTTACATGAGTTGACATTCATAGATTGACATACATTGACATGCATAGGTTGACATAAGATAACAGGCGTGAGTTAACATTCGTAAGTTGGCATATGTAAGCTGACATTCTCGACCTGACATTTAAGTGACGTGGAATTACAAATGATCAGAAAACGATTAGCTAACACGATGAACTTCAGATCTGTTCAAGTACCGTACAAAGTTCCAGAGTTCACTCAGCTCTTGTACGTACCTAGTAAAAGTTGGTTAATGGTGTTATCTTTATCTTACTCTTCCTACCACGATTTTTAAATCTTGCTTGCTTTTCGCTGTAGACCTCTGTCATAATGGTGTTGAGATGGTGTCGAGATGGTGTCGAGATGGTGTCGACATGGTGTCATGATGGTGTCGATATGGTGTTCCTAATCTTAGTAACCTCACCTATATCGAAGTGTTACTAATTTAACCTACTTAGCCTTCGTCACACAATACGTATTGTTTAGAAATTACGCAACGGCCTTGATAAATACAGTTAGTTGGAGACATGGGCCATCCTATTTTATACCAGCTAGAAAGTTAGTTACGTAATTTTTACTGTTTTGGTGTAGTTTTAAATACACTATATAGTAATTCTTATTTACTAATTTTTGACAACAGCTACAACATATGTTTCAGATTGTTTTATTAACCGCCAACTTCATTCTAAAGATAAAAGGACTCTTTCGTCTTTGAAGAAAGCTACGAGCAGCTCTAGTTTCCAAAATTTGGTTACGAAGTATTCGCACTGATACAAGGTAAATATCAAAGTATTTTTAAAATGCCATGAAGTATGTTAATGAGAACCAACGACGTAAGCAATAATTTATCTATGGGTGACGTTTTAAAGCTAGGTCATGCACAGTGGGAAGGTCTCATTATTCTTCTATACACGTTGTATAACTGGCTCTGTTATAGTGGGTTGGTGCTTGCTACACAGCTTTGATTTTACAAAGTACATCACAAAGTAAAACAAATTATGTTTAAATATTAACGAAATAATAACTATTAAACTTTTTATTTCAAACCTTCTTTTAATGAAGATATGGTATTTAAAATTCACACTAAATTAGTTGTTTTAATAATTAATTAACAGGTATAGGTTTATTTAAGTCAAAATAATTAATCTTAATTCCAACTGCACAACCAATCTATATATGCAGGGCTATTAAGTCTGTATACATGTCTCATTATAATAAGACGAATATACTTCGAACATATATCAAGTTTTGGCGTAATTAATCACCTAATTAGTAACCCAATCATATACCTAAGTGCACGTGGAAGCATGGCACCACCTCAGTGCTGGAGCATATGTCACCTGTCATGTTATTAACACCTGCCCCATTGATCTTATAGCACGTCTGAATCCAGGTCGCTGGACACGTGATGTGCATATATTATGCTGGGTGGATTTTGTACTGTGTGGGACAAGTGTAGTCATTATCCATTGTTATATGTAGTCAACATCTATTGTTATATGGATTCATCATTCATTGTTATATGTAGTCAACATCTATTGTTATATGGATTCATCATTCATTGTTATATGTAGTCAACATCTATTGTTATATGGATTCATCATTCATTGTTATATGTAGTCAACATCTATTGTTATATGGATTCATCATTCATTGTTATATGTAGTCAACATCTATTGTTATATGGATTCATCATTCATTGTTATATGTAGTCAACATCTATTGTTATATGGATTCATCATTCATTGTTATAAGTAGTCATCATCTATTGTTATATGGATTCATCATTCATTGTTATAAGTAGTCATCATCTATTGTTATATGGATTCATCATTCATTGTTATATGAAGTTATTATCCATTGTTGTATGTAGTCATCTTCTATTATTATATTTAGCCATCATCCATTTTTTAGTCCACATAAAAGCATTGATACTAACGTTTACCACTGTGATAGTCATAACATAAAAAAAAATAAGCACCTCTTATCAAGAGCTGCTTGTTTAAATATTTACCTAGCCAAATATGCTTTTCTTGTTTATTCTTAGAACTCGTTGGACTACTAAACTCAAGATATGTAGTTTAAACTGAAAAAGGTAAGGTTATATATTTTACTTCATATCAGTGGTTTATAAATATGCAAGTGTTTTTATAGCTAGCATAATATCAATATATACAGCCTTATATTGCTTTTAATGCGTGGCATTAATGTTTACCTAACTCAACCAATAATAGCAGATGCACCTTGATGTCAATATGCTAAATCAGCAACACAATGAGTGATGTAAGTGTGCAGTCTCGATAAACCAACATAAACACAGTAAACAATATCCGTGTACTTATAATACAAGTGGTAGCTGTAGTGAGGTTTATGCACAGAGAACAAAACACAACGGGTAGTGTTAGTATTCTTACAATTTAAAGACCAATACATGTACAATTTACGTTTCGACCCAAGGTCTTCGCCAGCAGTCAACAAGCTAGTGTGCTGACGAAGACCTGGGGTCGAAACGTCTATTGTAGCTGTAATTGTCTTTAATTTTTGAGGAAACTAACACTAACCGTTTTTAGTATTCCGTGTATTTTAAGCAGTAATGAATTCCATGTAGGTAAAGAACTAGAGCAACTTTATGAGGGTTTTAGGTAGTAGAATATGACAATGTTCAAAAATGTGTAACAAACTTAAGCGTTGATATTTACTTAAGTGGATAGTTAAGCCAACCATATGGCTTACATAAATACATTTTGAAGATTTAAGATGGAGGAGGGATTGATAGAAAATATGTGAGTTTTCTTACGGGTGAAGTGGTGGGTGTGTTTTGTGAAGTGTCTGGACACACTTTATATCGTACCTCTAAAACTGAACCTTCGGTTTGCTAATCAAATGTTCAACCCTTAACTTAAAACACGTTCCATTTTAACCTCTAAATCCTACCCAACCATAACTCCAGCCTTATCGCAGTGCATGTTATTCAAACATAAAGGCTTAGATCAAATTTTAAGACATTGATTATTTACTTAAAACGATTTTACATTTTACTGTCTAAAAGTAAATTGATGCTGTTTCTCGTTTTCATTTAACTAAACTTGCTATAATTTTGATCTTTTCAGAGCCTACAATTTACCTCATCGACTTGAAATTTGCATAAAATATTCAAGATGGAGTATGTGGGATTAACAATTCTAATCACAGCTTCAGCGGCGTGTGTGGTAATTCTTGTGGTGTTCGCTTTGTGGGGGTTTTACAAAACAAGAACTTGTCAGAAATCTAACATCAGTCGAAGCCAGCCATTGGCTAGCGACACCGCCGTGCATCCAATCAAATCGACGCCAATAAGATCGTGGATTGAAAACGAGGATATGTGTCCAATCTGGATCGTAAAGAAAAGTAAAGACAGCAAACATGAAAATTACTATGAAAATATTCTGGATGACATCAGTGGAGGGGATGTAGGAAAGATTCAGCACGATGGAGGAAGGTGTGAATCTCAAGATGCTTTTCTGGTGCATCAGAGTGGAAGAAAATACAAGAAAGATGCTTGTACTACAATAGGGGGATGTGTTGAACTGTGACGTCTACGGTTGTGAGCTTTTGGGGTGGGGTATTGGAGTGTGACAATTTGTGGAGTGAGGTACTGGAGTGTTACAATTTGTGGTGTGAGGTCCT